CCGGAACGCACAGCAGCCCCAAAGGTGTTTCGACAAACGCCTCCATATATCCTGTGCGCAGCACTGAAGGTCAGTGGTGTATAACCTATAATGAACTATTATTATAATAGTTTTTAGATCATATACCATTGAAAAAGGTTATCTGAGAACGGGAGTTTCCTTCGTGCAAGCGTCCTGAAAGCGGGGTCGACTGCTGTATCTCAGCCATATAACGTCTACTGCTGTCAGCAAGGCAAACGATTGTTGTCCGTGTCGCGTTAAGACCGTCGTCGCAACCCGCGTCAACTCTTAAAATGTACATACATTGACCAGACTCTTGATGGTCCGGAAAACTGCGTCCCGTTCGTTAATTCACAGCAGTTATATAACGCTGTAAATCTACACATTACGTATACACCTAGCGCCGCCGAGGTCCCAACAAGCTTGCGACAACGCAACAATTCGCAAACAACGCTGTCTCAAAAGAAAAGCTTGATGACACGGTATTCGTGAAGCAACCCGTTCCATTCTCTGCTCTCCCCAAACAGAACCCGGCTTGAGAACACACAGCGTGGAGTGCAAGCTTCTTCTTTAGTCGAAGGATTTGCAGCCATCAAATCGATCCCTCAAGCTGGTGCTCCATTTGCTTTCCGTCCGACCGCGGCCAGCTTACACTCGAGCTTCGACCTCTTCTTGCTGCAGTAGCAGCATGCCCAGTTGGGCAGGTGGTTCAGCATGAACGGCTTCACGTCGCCGCAGCCGCCGTGACAGTGCGCTGCGCAGGAGGCGCAAAGCCAGTTGAGCTTGCACGCCCCGCAGGAAAAATAGTCCACCCGGTGCTCTTGTTGTTGCTGCTGGTGCTGAGCAAACTCCACGGCGAAGCACGGCTTGACCTCCTCGCTCTTCAGCAGCACCGGTCCATCCACAACCAGTGCCCAACCCGCCCCGACTCGCCCCCCCGGGCTCTGAGAGAACACGGTCTGCGTAGCGTCGCTGAGCGGATGAACCTGTCCTTGCGCGGCCACAGCAGCCCTATTAATACCATCGCCGTTACCGCCGGCGGCAGCGGCACCAACTCCTGTACCAGCCCTCCTTGTTGCAGACAAGGGCTGCAAGTAGAGACGCGTGGTCGAACCAAAGCCTCGGACCTCGTCTCCGGAAGCAGCGTAGTGCGCGCGCACCTGAGTGCGTAAAAAGATAGAATCAAACGTCGGAGAAAGCGCGCGAGAAAAATCGGCCACTAGTTACATGGATGTGCATGCAAATAAGCAGGCGCTCGCACCTCTATTCTCTACATGTATGTTTGCCGTGTCGGTTGCCTAGCGTTTCCATCAAAAGTCACGAAAGAGCTCAATTCCGCACGCCGTTTGATCAGCACCTTGCCGAAGATGTTTTCCGGAAAGTGCGTGGGGAGCAGCTGAGTGTCGAACCGAACGCCCCTCGAGGCCACGATCAACGTCACCGTGCAAGGCAAGAGGCTGGGCGGCGGCAGAGCGGCCGCGGCGTGCGCGTCGAAGTCCCGCAGCAACGCCTCCATGCCGGCGTTGAACCTCGCCTCGCTCTCTTGGATGGCTCCTTGCAACGCAGCCGCCCTACGCGCACGTGTTTCCGCCTGCCCCTGGCGCGGCGTCGTCTCTTCCCGTCGCGCGGCGGACAGCTGCGCCGTAAGGTCGCTAACCTCAGCCGCATGCGCCGCGCTTTCGCGGGCGTAGTACGACTGATACCCAAGAAACGCCTCTCGCATTCGTCTGACGAGAACTTCTTCGACGGGAGACAAAACCGCAGGGGAGGGCGGCACTCCCCGTCGTAGCGGTTGATTTTGCTCGGGCTCTGCTTCCCCGGGGGAATTTCCCGCCGAGAATGGAGGTTTCGGAGGAAACCCGGTAGGAAAGCGGGCGTCGTCGGATCCCACATGCGGATGATCACGATTGTCGCCGTTTCCCTTCCCGTTGATAGCATCAGCCCCAGCCGTGCCGCCGGCTGCGGTATCGAACAGCAGGCGCATGTAGGCCACGTCCGTATCCTCGGTGGCCTTGCGCAGGGTGCTGGCAACCTCGTCCACCATAAAGTTTCGGATCAGGCCGGCCTCGCCCCCTATTACCCCAACCTGGCACACGGGGCAGCAGTGCTTGCGGGTCACGGCGTCCCCCGCGCACGAGCGGCAGAAGCTGTGCCCGCAAGGGGTCACCACGCAATCTTTCACCATCTAGTAGGGAGCGGGAGAAACAACGACCGGGGAGGGAAAGGTGTGTGTGTGG